GATCAGGGTAGCTAGCCATCCCGGTGGAGGTATTGGACCTGGGGCAAGGCCAGGACTGTTGAAACGCTCTGAACCTCAGGCCAAACCAGCGAGATGGGGAGGGAAAGGAAGAGGGCTGGGATGACCCTGGGGTTTGGCCAGCATGCGGCAGCGCTGGGACTGGAGCCGGGTCGCCAGCAGCCAGGGCTGCCCCTTCACAGTCGTGGCTGCACGGCGGGTCTTGGTCTCTGAGCTGTGACTCAGGGCTCTGTGCGTTCACCCCTGAGCATCCAGATTTCTGGGTTTTCTACCAGTGTCTCATTTTCTATAATTTACCCTAACATGTTACCAAAACCTCCTTATTTGTACATGAGCCTGGTATATGTTCCTGAATTTCAAATTCAAGTACAAGTTCTCATTTAAAAATTACTGATCATGGTTGTTTTCAGAGAATTCTCATTACAAATGAAAAGAAATGTTCCCTTCTAAAGTTCATACGGTCCAGAATCCAGCTAGTAGACAATGGATTTCACAATATTCCCATCTAAAATTCTTTCTTGTAGCTCTGTTCATAAATATCTCTGGCTGAGCTCCCGTAATTTACAAGACTGGCTACAAAACCACTGATTGAATCACAGCCCTTGTTACTGAATAGAGGTCAAAGTATTAGTTCTAAATAATGCAAGTTGGTATGTTACTCGGAAATTCCAGGAAAAGCTTTTTTCCGTGATTTTCAGTTTCGTTCCAAGCAACAGACAATCACGTTGTTCATAGAATACTAAGTCACTGGTCTTTTAAGAAGCATGTTGCCCCAATCAGAAACTCAGATACACATGTATTTTACTGGATCCTGAAACTTACATAAAGCTTTAAGTGCACACTTTTTAGTGTTGTAAAAATTTGAACAAGTTCTTATTAGAGTAACATGGTGGTATGTAATGATGAATTGTTGGTACAGATATTAGTAAGGCAGAAAGACAGATACAAAATTCACATCCATATAAACTTGAATAATTGTGCAAATCACAGTTCTTACTCCCAAAGAGTTAAGCAGTCTTGTTCTGAAGGTAGCCACATGAACCTGTTAAAATGATAAATATAAATATATATCATCAGAATACGCTTTGGTAAAGCCGTTTGGTGAGCTGCCTGGGCTTGCCGGGTGGCTCAGTGGTAAAGAAACCGCCTGCCAATGTAGGAGGAACAGGTTTGATCTCTGGGCCAGGAAGATCCCCTGGAGGAGGAAAGGGCAACCCACTCCAGTATTTTGCCTGGGAAGTCCCAGGGACAGAGGAGCCTGGTGGGCTACAGTCCATGGGGTCACAGAGAGTTGGACACGACTGAGGAACTGAACAACTGGAACCCACAGAGTAAGGGTTTAATTCACTTTAGGGAATTAGCAATGGCTTCTCAAAGGTGGCACCTGCAGATACTCTTCAAGTGTTAGACCAAGGAAGGTTTAGGTTTTTCTAAACCTGTTTTTACTGAGTTTCCACTATTACATCGAACCATCCTTCCAGCCATATTGTTATCCTTAGTGTAGGATCAACGGTCATCTTGGTTTGCAAAGAACTTTACAGTTTCACCTCAGAGAGTCCCACAGCCTGGAGGACCCCCCATCCGGGGGCCAACGGACAGCTTCCTGCACCTGTGCTAGACCCCCCTGGAACGGGCCATTGCCATGTCACCGCCTTGAATTTATCATGGATCCACCCACCTCCCACAGGCCAGCAGAGATTGATGTACATGCCCGCATCTCTTATTTTATAGATGGTGCTGAAGCAAGGCTGACAGAAATGGCTTTACTCAAGATTCAGGCGACAGTTTAGACCTAGACCTGGCCCTCAGTCCTCCATGGAACATTCTCAAACCACCCAACATGAAAGCAAAGCTTCCCTGCACCCCTTGAGCCCTTAGGATCAGCTTCACCCGTGGGTCCTTGGTTATAGAAGGTCTCATAGCGCCCTCTGGTTGTCGTGTCAAGACACCGTCTTCGTCCAGCCAGATTACAAGGCAGGGATACTGTCTGCTCTTCTCTGTCCAGGGCAGCTCATAACAGGACCTTTATTATTACCTACTGTGCAGTCAGTGCCTATGATTGGACATGGCAGTAGGCATAACTTGTCTGCTTCATTTCAAGATTGTGAGAAGTAGCAACAGCCACAATGCCTGTCCCTCCCAGAGTAGGTGAGGATGGGTGGGCAATGCTGGGTGTTAGGTTCATTCTGCGGCTGGTGATAGATTTTGTATCCAGCCTTGGTGCCAGGGTGAGTTGGGATGTTGCTGATATGGTTGATTCAGATGCAGCCCCCAGCTCTTTAGGCCCCTCACCTCTATGAACAGTAGACCTCAGAGGGCATCTTCTGATGAAGGGAGCTGGCTAAGTGGACCTCAGAGAGGCTCCCGGGTCTGCATCTGTGGAGCCTCCCTGGTCCCAGATGGAATCAACCCTTTAACTATGATTCTCCCTGGGAATCCCCCTCAGTGGGCACAAGCTAGGGGCAAAGGAAGGTCAGAATCTGGAGTGGAGAAGCAGAGGAGATCTCTGCATGAGGTCGGATTTTTTTCTGCATGTGAGAGGGTTTTGCCAGATTGGGACCTGACCTCAAGGTCTGTATACACCTTGCTCCTTCTCTTCTACCTTTAACATTGTCTTCAGAATATTTTTGCAACCCCTGGACTATACAGTCCATGGAATTCTCCAGGCCAGAATACTGGAGTGGGTAGCTTTTCCCTTCTCCAGGGGATCTTTCCAACCCAGGGATCGAACCTAGGTCTCCCACATTGCAGGCAGATTCTTTACCAGCTGAGCCATAGGGGAAGCCCCTCAGAATATCAGTCTTGACTGGTGTCATGAGGACTTCCAGGACCTGACAAGTCAGGGTTATCTCACTGTGGACAATGACTGCAGCCATAAAACCAAGACGCTTGCTTGCTCCTTGGAAGAAAAGTATGACAAACAAGACAGATAAACCAATATGTTTCTGCATATTAAAAAGCAGAAACATAAAAAAATAAATAAAAAAATAAAAAGCAGAAACATCACTTTGCCAACAAAGGCTCATATAGTCAAGGCCATGGTTTTTCCAGTAGTCATGTACGGATGTGAGAGCTGGACCATAAAGAAAGCTGAGCGCCGAAGAATTGATGCTTTTGAACTGTGGTGTTGGAGAAGACTCTTGAGAGTCCCTTGGACTGCAAGGAGAGCCAACCAGTCCATCCTAAAGGAGATCAGTCCTGAATATTCATCGGAAGGACTGATGCTGAAGCTGAAACTCCAATACTTTGGCCACCTGATGGGAAGAACTGACTCATTTGAAAAGACCCTGATGCTGGGAAAGATTGAAGGTGGGAGGAGAAGGGGATGACAGAGGATGAGGTGGCTGGATGGCATCACCGACTCGATGGACATGAGTTTGAGTAGGCTCTGGGTGATGGTGAAGGACAGGGAAGCCTGGCACGCTGCAGCCTATGAGGTTGCAAAGAGTTGGACATGACTGAGCGACTGAACAACAGCAACAATTGTCAGACCGTGCTCGGATCTTAGGGCTGGCTCTGGGACGGACAAGCCTTGGGCCTGGGCTGTGACAGAATGTGAGGGAGGTGCTTAGGGTTGCCAGCGCCTCTTAAATCATCCTGGAGAGAGAGAGCCACTTACTTCTGGACAGGCCTCCACTGGTTCTATCACAGGAGTAAGCTCCAGGAGATGGTGAAGGACAGGGAAGCCTGGCGTGCTGCAATCCATGGGGTCGCCAAGAGTTGGACACAACTGAGTGACTGAACAATGTCATGAGGCATTGAACCTGGAGTTGGACACCTGTGTTCAAATCCTAGCTTGAAGCAGTGGAGAAGAGCATAGCCTTTGGGGTGGGAGAGCTGTGGGACCCTCAGGTGACTTACCTAACCTGCCCAGGTGTCCATCTGACTGTCTATAAAACAGGGATAGTCCTGTTGACCTCGTAGGTTTGCCAGTACCACATTGTTTCTGAAGCACCTCGCGCTGGGGTCTGACATGCACGCACTTGGTAAAACGATGATGAGCACCCTCCTTGATTCCATCACTGATCCTTCACTGAGAGCAGGGGAGCCATGCTCCCTCGCTGGGAAGGCCAGGCTGGCCTTGATGGGCAGAGGCCATGGGAACCGCTTGTTCACTGGGGGAGAGCACAGACACTGCTATTGGTTTGATGTGAATTTGTGTGTCTGGATTTCTCATAGTTCAGTATTACCTTCATTTCTCTGTACTCCCCCAGCCAGTTAGCATCTTTGGGCCGAGGCCCCTCTAATGTGGTTTCCTTCCCAGAGCCTGACCTCAGGCCAAGTCAGCTTGGTCCCTCCTGCCCTGGTGGCCCCCGGGGTGTTTTGCATCTTTGTCATTACAGTTTGGGGTATTTCATAGACAATACGCAGCTCATTGTCTTGACATCACAGCTCCTTGCTTGAGGCCGCCTGTGTACTGAGCACTCGCCTCCTATGAGCTGCATTAAATTGAATTTGGTTCAAGTTTCCCTGTGACATTTTGGAATATTGTTGGATTGTGTGTGTGTGTGAGAGATAATTGATGATGTCTTCTATTTTGAATAAGAAGATACAATCTTGAACTACGCCTTGGCTTTTTCATTCTAGCAGTTTTTCAAAAGTTTTCTTGAAACAAATGTGGGTGGATTTCAGAGTTTACCATCATAAGGAATGCACAACCCATAGGCAAAATTTGCATTCTTCCCATTTCATTTATGAATTAGGAGGAAAAAATAACATTTTATTAATAGCGTAATTGAAAATAGTTTTTATGTGATCGGCAGGCCTGGTTTTCTCTTAGCAACTCCTAAACAAAATAGCTAAGCCTCCGCTGATGGAGGTTCTTCTTGGACTGACGGGGCTAACTCTCTGCTTTGTTTCCGCTGCAGGCGGTGACTGCGGAGCCCAATGTGCACGGCGGGCGGGAAGGCCAGGCTGGAGGCCCTGAGGAAGAAGGCCTGCGCGGGGGGCCGGGGGACATCGAGGCGCGCGTGGGTCTGAGCCGCGCTAACCTGCGCCTGCGGGCCCCCGGCCCAGAGAACATGACCACGGCGCAGAACGGCCACGGGTGCGGAGCTACGGTCCCTGGTTCCATCCCTGACCCCAAGGACCCTGGCATGGGAACCCACCCGGCGTGCCGCAACGGCGGCTGCAGCAGCGGCGGCGCGGGCGCCCGGGAGGCGCGGCTCAGCCCGGCCCGCATCCTGCGCCTCTTCTCTGCCGGCCCGGGCAGGACGCGCGCCGACCGCGAGCGGCCTCGGCCCGCCGGCCTCGTGGGCAGCTCCTCCACGTGGAACGCCCTGGCCTCCTTCCGGAAAATGGGCTCTTTCAAAAAACTCAAGTCCTCGGTCCTCCAGGGCATTCAAAACCGGGAGGGGTGGGATGCGGCGAAGGAAGGAACCTCGGATCGAGACCCGGGCAAGTCCATCCCCAACGGCGCGGCGGCAGGGGCCCCTGCGGGCAGGTGCGCCCTGGGGCCCGGCTTCGCCTCCGACGGCTCGGACCCGGAGGAGCCGGACGACGGCTTCGCGCGCGGCGCCCTCCGGTCGCGGAGCCTCCGTCGTGCCTACGGCCTGGGGCGCATCCGCCTCCTCGATCCGGAGCCCCCCGGGCCTGTGGCATGTGAGGCCCCAGAGCCCCCAGCGCGCGAGCCCGAGCGGAACGGTGTCTGCCGGCGCAGCAAGAGCACGGACAGCCTGACCTTCCTCGGTAAGAGCTCCTTCCGAAGGAAGTCCGCCTCGCACCTGGCCGAGCTGCGGAGCGCGCAGGAGGGCCGGGGGCCCCGCAGGACGCTGAGCGGCTCGTCCGCCGACTCCGACAGCTCAGGTGGGGCCCCCACGAGGTCCAGGCGCTGGAGGAGCCCGCTGCGGGTGCCGGACCTGGCCCGGGTGCTGCGGCTCTCAGGGGGTGGCACGGCCGGCCGGACCGGGGACCCCGGGAGCGCAGCGTCCGGGCCACGGCCGCTCAGCCGGCTGCACGATGACTATTCCCGCCGCGCGGCTGCTGGCCCCGAGGGGCGTGGACGGGGGCGCGCGGAGCCCCGAGACCCGGGCCCAGTGGGTGCAGGCGGACCGCCCAGGGCAGCAGTCCCAGTAGGTGCCGCTCCTCGTGCCCAGGGCTCTCCGTCCAGCCCACCGGCCCGGGAGATGACGGACAGAGGCTCCGACGAACCGGGACCTGGCGACCGGTTTCCCTCGGAGCCTGAGCACCCTCTCGGGCCCCCGAGGCCCACCACGCCCAAGCCCCCCAGCCCTCGGAGCCCCGACGCAGCGAGTGCCAAGTGTCCCAACAGTGTCAGCGCGCTGTCGCTGAGCTCAGCGGACAGCGAGGATAGGGCCGAGGGGCCCCCCCAGAGGGAGCAAAGTTCCGGGTGCTCTCGGGAGGCCGTGCCAGCCACCTGTGACCAGGGCAAGGAGGACAGCGGCGCCGGCGGCCACTCTCAGCCCAGCCTTGGAGGGGCGGACGGTCCAGAAGACAAGACAGAAGAGGTAAGGATCCTTGGTGGCCTGCCAAGCATGACAGGTGCCTGTCAGCGCCACCCTCCTCCCACTGAGATGGGCAAAGGTGGTCCCTTCACCTGCCTGGAGGCAGCGCCCGAGCTGTGTTGCTCTCAGGAGTCGTCTTCTTCGGTTGCTATTTCTCAGGTTAAGAAGTGATTTCTCTCTTTGTTGTGAAATGTATTGCTGTTGTGCGAAGCTCCTGGAGGTGGCATTTATACCACACAGTTCCTCCAGGAGAGATGAGCCCAGCTCTGAGCTAGATTTGGGAGAAAAGTTGCAGGCATCTCTCTTGTACTCCATGCAGCTAATAGGGGCTCTCAAAATTCTAATCTTTGAGACATTATTATTATTATGAGCTTCCTTCTCCATCTGCTTTAAACTGTTTCCATGTCCTTTTCAACAGAGTTCATGTGAATGAGATTCTTTGTTAAGAGGCCATTACATGTTCTAAGTCGGCTTCATTTCCCAAGAGTGAATTAGAAATGTGCACTGTTATACCTGTCAACCCTGAGTGATGATAGCTCAGAGAAATTTTTATGATGGTTATTGTACTTATTTTTAGAGTAGAACACAAGCATCTCATGAATCAAATTCACTAATAACTGTCAAGGCTCCAAGAGCATTGTTCTTTTCATTTCCTGTCAAGGATCCAGGCAGCCTTACTGTGTAATTTCTACTCTATAAATGCATTCAGTAACGTTCCCTTACAGAGCTGAGAGCAAAGGAGATGCATGCTTGTGTCTATATTGCAAAGGATTCTTCCCATAAGATCCTAGACTGTGTGGTTGTTGTTATTCAGTCACTCAGTTGTGTCCAACTCTTTGCGACCCCATGGACTGTAGCCCACCAGGCTCCTTTGTTCATGGGATTCTCCAGGCAAAAGTACTGGAGTGGGCCGACATTTCCTCCTCCAAAGGATCTTCCCTATCCAGGGATCGAACCTGTGCCTGCAGTATTGGCAGGCGGGTTCTTTACCACTGAGCCACCAGGGAATCTAGACTATATCACAAGTATAAATCGTGCCAGCAGCGGTTCCTTCCCACTGGCCCCCAGAGAGGACTTCAGTTTTGCCTTCATGCCTGCAGAGAGCATGATGATGCAGCCAACTCAGAATCCAGGGCAGCCTCTGGACTGTTTTGTAAATGCTGCATTATAGGAAGCCTTAGAAAGGGAGCCTACCACAGATCGCTTTCAGGAGATCTAAGTAGCCTCATGGGTCCCTGGGTAGCCAGAGGGCGAGACTGCCTCACTTTTTCTGGATTCAGGCTTGCATGGAGACCTCGGGGCCAATCTGTCTTCCAGAGGTCCTGTTTGTTGATGACCACTTGCTCATTTGCATATTCCTAAAAGGAGTCTGTGGAGCAGTTATAAGGAAATGGGAGTCAGTGCCAGCCAAGGGAAGAGTCCTGCCTCTGCCATGGGTTGTGTTATTCATCAAGGCCTGAGCCAGTCTGGGCTTCACTTCTGCCTGGATAATGAGATGACCAGTGATTCCTTACACCAAGCAGCCTGTCCTGCCATACTGAGAATTTTAGGACACCTCCCTCCTCCTCAAAAGAGGGATTTGCTGTGGTCAAGAGGGTTCTTTGTGTTAAAGGTGAGGATTTCATTTTCTGTTTAACAAAATTAATAATAATTTTAAAAAGCCATTAAAGTATTTTATTCCTGAGCACATGTTAATTAAATATATTCAAGAGTTAGTTTCTAACTTAGTTACTTCCCAGGGTAATTTTTGACTGTTATACAATTTCACATTTATATTTGCTGTTCTTAGTTTATGTCATTTAATTTCCACCCACAAGAAATCACTGAAGAGAGAAAGCAGGACATGAGTAGTTAATAGTACATGCATGTTGATAATGCTACAGATTTTCTTTAAGATGTTTATTACATTTTTAGGTTGCATTCATTTCTGCAAAATTCTCATGTAGCACGTCAAACTTCCTCTTATGTGTGCTTGTTAAAGTAAATGTCGAATAGAGAAAAAACTGATTTTGCCCAATTTATGTTGTGTATGCTGGTAATCTTCAGTGTTACTTGCAGAGAAGTACTTGTAAAATATAACATGAAATCTTCTCTTTTATTTTGTCATTTAGAAGCAAAGTACAAACAAAACAAACCAGAGAGCATCTTGCTTTAAAATGGAGCAATTCCAATCTTCCTGGGTTAGAAGCAGTATTTGTCAATCTTATATAGCCACAATAAAACTAAATATCAGCCTTTACTGTTTTAATGTACACTGTGTTATTTTTTTAGTTTATCAATAGTATGGTTCCACTTGTGGGCTTCCCAAGTGGAGCTAGTAGTCAAAAACCCGCCTGCCAGTGCAGGAGACACAAGACATGTGGGTTCGATCCCTGGGTCCAGAAGATCCCCTGGAGGAGGGTATGGCAACCCACTCCAGTATTCTGGCCTGGAGAATCCCATGGATGGAGGAGCCTGGAGGGCTACAGTCCATGGGGTCACCAAGAGTTGGACATGACTGAAGCAACTTAGTACGTATGTAGTATGTGTGATTCTACTTAGACGTTTAAAGCTAGCTTGAGCTATGGTTATTGTTGAATTTTAAAAGATTGTACATTTTATGATATTTAAAATGCTTATTGTCATGCAGTTTTAAATAAAGGAGAATAACTTTTTAACTTAGAATCATTTAGAAATAAAAGTGGCAATCTTCGAAAAACTGCACACAATGAAGCAAGACTGTGTGTCCCCAAATCACCTCCATAGCATTGTATTCCTGCCACCTAGTGGTAAACGTTGTGTAACAACGATGACGTGGGGAATGAAACTGAAATTGTTACTTGGTTGAAAAATGCAGTTGAGCGTTTATGCCTGTTCCTTATAAGGGAGCAGGCACAGGGCGTAGTGTGGTTGCCGGTGTCCCTGCAGAGTCACCCAGTAGCTCACTGGCTGAGTTAGGGGCCCTGTCCTTGGTCCTGCAGAAAGGATGCCCAGGTTCCTGGTGGTGCTGAGTGTGCCACAGATGAACTCTTTCAGGTGATGAGAATCCATTGTAACGCCTTTACATGGAGCTTCAGACTTTTAGTTTGCCATTTGAAAGATGCCCAGCATTGGGCAGACCCTTAAACACCTCAAGGGTGGAGCACGGGAGAGCTCCCTCTGTCTTGGAGGTCTGTAAGAACCAAGGAAATTATGTGGTAAACGCTCGATTCAGTATTTCCCAGCGGCCGTCGCGATCTGCTATTCACTTTCCTTTTGTGATTTCCCATCCTCGATTGACCTGACTCCTTCAGGCAGGGGCCAGGTAAGGTCAGTGTTTTCTAGAACTGATTTGACACCCACCGTGTTTCACCCTTATGGATCAAATTGCCGAGTCCCCATCAGGTTCCAGACACTCAGATGTAGCTCTGAGGAACAGTGGGCGATGTCGGGGAGACGATCAATGACCTAAGATGTATCTAAGTCATAGTAGAATACGCTGAGTGAGTTAAACCTCACAAAAGGGGTAAAACCGTGATGCTGAGGGAGTTCACAAGGGTTGCAGTTCTTACCCACACACCAAATCCAGGCAGGCTTAATAGGGGTGATCACATCTGGTTTGAAGAAGGTGGTAGTTATGGAGTGGAAGTATAACAGTTCAGTGGTCAGAGGCACAGAGGTTTTATGTGATTTCACAGAACAGGACACAATAGTTTGATTTGGTGTCCTGGGAAACTGTACTGGTCAAGCTGAAATCATTAGGTTCAGACTGTGGATTCTTTGATTCCATATAAAGAATCTGTATGTTACTTGATAAGCATTGAGGGATCAGAGATGTCTTTGAATAGAGAAGGGCCAAGCTCAGAACTGTGTGTTTGAAAAGTTAATCCACCATCTCTAAAAAAAGAGAACTGGGGAGAAAGATGACCAGGGAGAAGGCTATTGGAATTTATTGCCACAGAGATCTCAGAGGTAACAGAGCTCTGAAGTGTTGGGAGGAAATCCAGCACATGAGGAAGGACGGAGAGTGAAGCAACAGACGCAACAACAAAGACCCAGCGCAGCTGAACATAACTAAACACATAAATATTTTTTAAAAAAGATACCACAGTGCCTGAAATATACTGATAATACCTTAAGATTGCTTAGCTTATTAATATCTTTATTATTAATATCATTAGCATATATTGTTTTAATATGCATATATTTTATATGTTTTATATTTTAAACATAATATTGTAGTATTAAGATCATTAGCATGTAGCATTTATTTTATATATTTTATACATTATAAATAGAAATTTTGTTTTATTTTGTCATATTATTTACCATATAATTAAAACTATAGTATTATTTATTATTGATATTATTACTACTAATAACAAAGCATAAATATTAACTGTTATCAGATTCATTGTTAGTTAAAATTGCCACCTTCAGTCAGGCCTTTCGGTACAGACCAGTTAAACTCTGCAAATCACTTTCCACCTTCCAGCCAGTTTCTCTGAGTCTGGAATGGGCCCAGCCAGGGTGCACAGAAGGGCACAGACCCTGAGCCTCAGCTGGAGCTTGTGCCTCAGAGCCGTGACCGGGACCTGGAACAGGGCCCGCAGGGGACCATGACCTGGACCTAGAACAGGGCCCGCAGGGGAACAGGTCAGGCACTGAGTGTGGACCCCTGCTGTCTCAGCCAGGCTTGTCATGGTCCTGATGTCCTGTAGGTTAGGTTTGGGCGTTTCTCTTCCAGTTAGCTCTGTCCAGCTAACTCCTGGTTCAGGAAGGAGAGGCGTTAACTCCTGAAAGAGTTAAACATAACTTGTAACTCTGGTGTTTCCACCGAACTCTTATCAACTGGACATGAGCCTCTATAGAGTACAAACGCCAGTTCCCAGAAATGGCTTTAAAACCTTTCAAGCCAGAAGGAACGGTGATATAAAGCATTTGGTCTAAAATATGTTGACCGTCAATGGTTACTCCCCCTTCGGGGAGGTGGGGGATGGAATTTTACCAGCTCACATTGGAACTCTAAAAATGTCATTGACTCA